TTGAAGAAGAAGAGGCCATTGCAGATCTAGCTTATGAGATTAAGCTAACCGCTTTGATACCACTTGTTAGTCCCGAAGGGGACTAACATCTTGGTTTAACATAAACTAGCAACCTGAGTTTAAGTTGCTTTGTGAAAACTTTGTATATGTCAAAAATTTATTTTGGAGTCTTAAAAGATGTTTCTTGATATTTATCAAATATGTTGATTATTTTATGAGAATTGCATCTTTGGTATATTTGGGGTTATAAATCTTGTGACATGCCCATATTTGGGATTTTTGGACATTTTGATAAATAAATCATAATGAGTATTTCCTTTTGATGATTTATTGTATAAGTGGTAACTGTTTTACGATTAGTGCACTTTTAGTGTATTTTATTTTATAAACCATTTTGGAAATACACATTATTGTGCTACGAGACATTTTGAAAATATAAATTGTATCGTTTTTACTTGGAAAATGATTTGCCTCAACAAAGAAGGGTTTTTGAGTCAACCATACTTTTAAAGCATATGTTTGCTTAAACATGGTTAAATGTGTTTTATTGCTTATGATTAACTTTTATTTTAGTAGTCAAATAAGTGTTGTGTTATTGGCTTGATTTTGTCCCATTTGAGTTTTAGGGACATTTGTCCTGTTTAATTTGCTCATTAGTTGAGTTTGGATTTGATTTGTATTTATTGCTTCTTTATTTGAGAAATACATGCTTTGAGTGCATTGGTCATTTAATTGAGGCCATACAATTTAGATTGTAATGCATTGGATCCATAGGCATATGTGTCAGTCGTGTTTGATAAGTGATGGGTTTTGATGTCTGCACTTCGTGACCAATGCTCGTGTAGGCATTATAGTTGTCTTGGTATTGCGGAAGTGAATTCTTATGAGTCATACTCTAGGACTGTGAGTATTGTGGTTTTGATGGTTTTGATGCCTTAACCTTTATGCATGAGGGCTAAGTGTCATATGTTGTCAAGTAGTAAGTTTGAGAGTCACATCTTCAATGCTAGTGAGTAGACACTAAAGGTCGAATGGGAACCTTGAGGTTGGAACTAAACTAAAGAACAAATGGGCACTTAAATTTGGTATCCTTGAGGTGACACTCAGTAGGGAGTATGCACTAAAGGTATTGTGACCTTGAGATGACGCTCGATAGGGGTGTGCACTAAAGGTATTGAAGACTTAGGTGACACTTGATATAGTGTGCGCTAAAGTTAATGGATCTGATGTGCAGTTTGATAACATTGATACCAAGTGTACTTTTATGTTCTATCATATTTGATTGATGCAGGTCTCCCCATCAATGAAAGGTGATATTTTGGATAATGTATTATCCATGTCTTTGGTGTTGTTTGGGTATAAAGTGTATCCATAATTTATGATATTGGTATCTTGGAACTTATCCATGTTTTTTGTGTCGTTTTTCTTGTGGAATGTAGTCCATATTTGAAGATTTTAAATATTGGACCTTGTCCATGTTTTGATGTTTTGGATATTAGAGTTTTATCCATGATTTCAACATTTAAATATTAAACTTTTTATGCGTCTTGTATGAGTAATGGGTTTTGAGTAACCGTTGATAAGTTTTTATCACGAAAAAAAGATGAGTTTTGAGAAAGATATTGTTTTTATATTTAATACATATCATTTTGTAAATTGTGATGTAAATAACATTTTTTCAGTCTTACCATTTATAATTATGATGAAAACTGTTTGATCTCACTAGGCATTAAGCCTAACCCTTTTTTATTTGTCGGCATTTGCATCAATTTCTTGTTGGGGAACAGTAGTAGCAACAGAACAATAAGTTGAGTGCTAGTTAGAGGCATGAAGGAACTATCTATCCGGAGACATCTTCCGTACTTTGGAGATAGCAACAGTTAATGGGTTTTAGTGACACATGTTCTTAACCTATACTATATATAAGGTTTATCTTTTGTTGGTGTTGAATCTTAGATTGCCACTATAGATAGTTGATCTATAGAAAGGAATTTATTCCTTATTTGATGTATTATCGAAAATTTTATACTAGTCGCTTCTTTCAAATTTTAAGGTGTTGGACTAGATGTATTTATGTTATTATCAAATCAAATGATTGAGACCAATAGAGTTTACCAACGATTTCTTTTACCTCAAGTTCTTAAGAGACTCTAACTCAATTATGGGGATTAATTATCTCTTAACTCTCAACTATTATTTGTGTTTTCAAAGGTCTATGGTGATCTGAACAACAGTGATCAATATCACCATAAATGAAGTCAACAAAATTGTAGATGATGTTGCTCGTCGAACAGAATGAGAGGAGGACTAGAAAGTGTAAGATTGTATAATAAGGTCATGCTTCGTGCTTCAATCATAAAATTATCCATCTGAAAAACAAAGATGGACGGGACTAGTTTAACATCCCTAAAATAGAAGAAAATTGAAGCTTTCAAAAACTTGCAATTTCATTAATAAGATACAAGTTTCTCCCAAGAAAAGAGAACAAGGCCGAATAAATACAAGAGAAAGTAATGGGTTTAATAGTCAACCTCCTAATCTAAATCACTCCAGCGTTATACTAGAGTTGGGTGTTACTACAACCACCAAAGGGCTCTATTGACCAAGCTTGCAAAACGCTCCAAAAATGCTACTCAATTAGCGACTCTACTAACACTTAATGCTTCACTCAAGTGTCCTAATAATAGCCTAACCATTTAAAGATCCTGAATATACATCGATATGAAAAAGTATTAGGCTTAAAGCCGAATAAGTTCAAATAATTTACAAGCAATGTTAAAAAGCAATAAGTTCGGAAGCTTAGATTTTATAAATTTCAACACCATTTGAGTAATTGGTTCTCATAAACCACAAACACCAAAACACGTCTTATGATGACGGGATAGACCTAATTTTTCCATTGATAGTGATGGAACACATAAGTAAGACACATACCTATGTTTATGAGCCTTACAACAGATGAATCATCATCAATTTCAACCTTGCATGGTCTATGGCCTAAGCGTCAATGGTCGATGTTCGACTCCATGCATGTCTGCACCATACTGCCCCCAATGACCCGATGCACCTTTTCTAATTGCAATGTAAGAAATGACCATCCCTTTTTCCACAACCAATAAATCGACTCATATATCTGTAGATCTAATGAGTTACGGTCTAAGACATGACATGACCCTAGGATATCCATCCACATCCAAACAAGTAATTTTCCAATCAATATGTAATTTAATAAACGAAAATTATTTCTATCAAAACTCCAACATTTCTCTTGAACAATTTTTCCTTCTCAACACCACATGACATATTTGTTATTTTTCAATGAACCAACATAAAGCGAAGAACCTTACCAGCGCTTGACATGTCACAAATCCTCTTGAAAGAAAACGGGGAAATCTCATATGACCCAATATATCTGACATGTCGCACTATATGTCAACCCAACAAAAATGGCATTTTCTCAAGCATTAAGCACTACATATTCAGCAAGAGTATAAGCCAAGTTAATAAAATCTCATTTATGCTATAAATCCAACATAACTTAATACCCATAGGATTTATACCTCAAGATACTTTGAAGACCTAGATATACCCCTTTTATTAGTGTTTCAAAGAACTCCAAGTATTTGTCTTGTATAACCAATAAAATCCCCAAAATCATTAAAATGGTTCAAAAAAAATATATCATAAGGAAAGTTTAGGAGACTAAAATGTAACATTTTTACAACTATATAGTGTTAGAAAAGAGTAGAATGAACTGACAATTCTAGGTTTTTGCTAAAACCTAGAAACCAACCAAAATCATAAGGATGAGGAGAAGATCTTGAAGCTTTGACTCTAAACTTGAACTCGTAGCTTTAAATGCTCTTAAATGCCTTTGAAACCCTTGAAATGTTGCCTTGATTGCTCCTAATTAGTATTAAATGTGGAAGGAAATGAGAGAGGATGAGAAATGATCCAAAACCTTAAGAAAAATCCCTTACAAATAGTCCAAATGCCCCCGTGACCTTAGGTCGTGCGGCTTGGTCACCCATTTCTCCTCGACCATCATACACAAACCACTATGGAGTTTATAGAGTAAATTACATTTTTGGTCCCTATGTTTCCACTCACTATCAATTCTAATCCCTATTTTGAACTAATTACATTTTTGGTCACTATAGTTTATAATTTGTTGCACTGTTGGTCCCTGTAACTAACTTTTGTTAAAAAAAAATGCATTAGCTAAAAGACCTTTTTGTTTTTTGTTTTGTAAAAAAGTTAAATACATATACTATTTTTTTTTGAAGTATATAATATTTATATACGGCAAATACAACAAATAAACTCACACACCTTTCTCACATTTGGTGAGGTTTGAACCCTTAACCTCCTAGGAGGCCAAAGACTCACATATCGCTAGGCC